TGGGGCACACATTTATTCATTCATTCCCCACCACAACCGGGAGCCCTGAGGCTGGGACCCGGCTTAGTCTAGGTTGTGGGTGCCAGGCGGTAACCATGGCAACACGTAGTTAGAAACTGTTACCAGTTATTGACTGAACTAATATTTTTAAAATCTAAAGCATTTACGGTAATAAAATCTTATGGAATCCTTACCACAGCTCTGTGAGGCAGGCTCTTGTAAATTGAGACCCTACAAATGAGGCCACTTAGGCTCAGAGAGGTGAAGTAACTGGCCCAGAGTCACACGGTTCTTGTGTAGCAAAGCCAGCAGATGCGCTTGGTCTCCTGCTTGCTCACCCCTTCCAGCCTGCAGCCCAGCATTCCTCCTTCAGCTTCTCACGTCCTCCCAGTGCCAGGAAAGGTGGGCTCGCTAGTCCTGGCCCCGCCTCTCTCCCATTCACATCTTGCCCCAAGGCGAGAGTTGGGGAGGTGATGGGTGGTGTGGACGCTCATTGTCTCTCTGCAGGGCCTGGAGTTGTGTCGTGTGGTGGCTGTGCATGTGGAGAGCCTGCTCAATGCCCGGGAGAGGCGGCTCACGCTGCCCCCCAGTGAGATCACGCTGCTCTGACCCAGCCCCTGCCCTCCGGCTGCCCTCTGCCAGAAGGCTTGCTGTATGCCTCCAGGGGAGTAACTGGGCCTCTCTGGGCCAGTAACCCCTGTAACAGGCCAGAACATTGCGGACACCAAGAGGAGAAAGGAGGAGAACCCAAGTCCCCAGAACTCAGGAAGACCGATCAAGAGTTGGGATGGATTTGGAGCCTGGAAACTTGGGTCAGATAGCAAGAGGAACTTCCAAAGCCTGGTCAGTGGGGCGTCCTGACATGTCCCCCTGTGGGCCCTGCCCCTGACTTCCACTTGTGGCAGGGAAGCCCCACACCAGGGCCTGGACAAGCTGGACTTTGCCTGTGGTGTATCCGGGTCTGACACTCAGCTCTGCTCCAGCTCCACATCCTGGCCCCTCACGTGTCCTCCGTGGGGGCCCCTGCACTGCTGCTCAGCTTGGATTTGGGACCCTTGGTCATTTCTGTGCAGCTAAAAGGTGTGGCTGGCAGCCATTCTTCCATGGAGTTGCTGAGTGGCTGGAAAACAAGCTGGAGGGAGGAGGCAGGAGTTGGAAGTCTGGTTGTACCCCTGGGCACTGCCCATGAACAGAGCTTCCAGTAGACATCTGTTCTTACCTCTCCCTGCATACTCCTGTGCCCCCACTCCACACTCCTTAGATAGCTCCAATCCTAGGCCCCCATCACTGTCTGGGCCACACAAGGTTCGAGAGTGGCACAGTGGAGGAAGAGAGAATTTTTGTGTTAGGGGCTGGGGAGGGAGAAGTCTGGGAAACAGCTTCCCAGAGAGTGGGACATTGGAGTTGGGTTTTGAAGGATGAGTAGGAGTTTGCTAGGAATAGATGGAAATGTTTCTCCAAACAGAGAAAATGGTATTTTTTCCCTAGAACAGTGTTTAACACAAAGTAAGCATTTAAGAAATATTCGTCACATGAATGAAAGAATAAATAAATGAATGAATGTTGATGGAAAGTAGTGGTGCTTTGGGGAACTTGTTGGGGAGGCGAGCAGAAGGCTGGATAGGTATGTGGGGGCATAATTGGCTGGAGCCGTGGTGTCAGAGGAAGGATTTATTGTCTCATTCAGTACCTACTAAGCACCTACTGTGTGCTACGCACATGCCAGGCACTGGGAGTTGCTCACTTTTAAATAACTATAAATCAGGACGACTTGTGAGAGAGAGTTCGCTAGGTGATGAGAGGAGGGAACAGCATTCCAGACAGAAGGAACAGCATGTGCAGGGAAGCATGTGCAGGGACTCTGAATGGACATTCCTAGTGGCAGGACTGGAGACTGAAGAAGCCGGCCAGGATGGGCTGGGGAAAGCTTGGCGGGCTGCACTAAGGATTTAGGATTTCATCCTAAGAGCCATGAGGAGCCTTCAAAGGTTTCTCAGTGGGAGGTGGGGGTGGGGCAATCTGCAGGTTGTACTTTCATAGTTCATTTTGACCACAGAGCAGAGTGAATATAGGCAGCAGGAGACCAGAGGAGAGGCTGCTGGAGCATCCCCCAGGAAACTGTGGTGTGGACCCTGGTGGTGGTGAGAGGTGGGGAGAAGCTGACAACTTGGGAGAGATTTCGGAAGTCCTGCAGGCAAGACTAGGGGATCAACGGAACTGTCCTGAGACAGGGACGGTTAAGGAAGAGCCCATTATACATACACCATGGGGCTGTCCCACTTTTACTGCTGCCTTAGGTTGGCTTCCTCCAGGAGCCGACTGTGCCCGTAGCTGATTTGGGAGGTGAAAGAAGTGGAGAAGGATCCAGAGGGTGTGTTACCATCGTTACCCCTGCTGCAGTAGCTCTGCCCAGGTGAGAGGTGAGCGCTTTTTGGGTTTCAGAGCACAAGAGGGCTGTGTGAGCGAGGCCGCTTGGAAGGGGGTCCTCCAGGGTGAGCTGCCCCAGCTGATGCGCTGGGGCCTGAGAGGAGCCCCAGGCGAACCCTGGCCGATCTGTGAGCAGATAAGTGACTGAGGTCTCAGTTTGGGATGGTTCGTTGCACAACACTGGATGACCAGAACACCAGGGCTTTTGGATTTCAGGACCTGGGCCTTAAGACACAAGGTTTTAACAGCTGTTCTGGTGACTCTGGGGTGTCATCAGAGAGCCAAGCCCTCCTAAGAGGGGGTAACAACACTCATGAAGCAGAGTGGCAAGAGTCAGGGGTGGGAGGAGAGTCAGACCCTGCTATGGCCCCCAGGCACTCTAGGGGTACCACACTAGGCCCCGCTACCTGGGCCAGGACCCAGAAAGACAGGAACTGCAGGTCGACGTGGGGAGATCCAGAGTAGAGGGGACCAAACCCCAGGGTTCCTAGCCCAGCACGGGGAGAGAACCGTGCAAATATCTAGGTGGCACCTGGGCTTGAGACAGTCAACTGCTGAAGCCCTGGGATCTCAGAGGGGTGTGGCAGGATGGACCATCATATCTGGGTGCTGAAAAGTAATCAGAAGGATCTCATTGCTGCCCCCATGTGGGATGGGGCCTGGACTTGGCCAGGTTCCAGTGTCCACATACCCCTCTGGTCTCCCCCTGCCCAGGGATTCCTCCTCTTGCTCAGGACCCACAAGCCTCTTAAGAGAATCTTGGCTTGGTAGTTGAGGACCCAGGCTGTGGAGCCAGAGAGGCCTGTGTTCAAATTCCACATCTGTTTGTTGATTAGCTGTGTGGCCTTCTGCAAGTTGCTTGCCCTTTCTGAGCTTTTGCTTCCTTCTTTGTAAACTGGAAGATTGACAGAAGCTTTAGGGCAAGTGCTTTCTAAGTGGTCATTATAATGTCTAGCATGGAGTACGAATGGATGTTTGGAGTCAGGAAACTTTGTTTTTAAAGCTAATTCTTACCAAGTTTTACTATGCACCAGGCACTGTACATGTGCTAGCCACTCAAGCCTCAAAATACCCCAGTGAGATGGGTACTAAGACCACCATTTCATATATGGGGAAACTGAGGCCCAGAGAGGTGAAGCAAGTAACCAGTAAGTGGCCTAGCGAAGATTCAAATGCAGGCAGGCTGACTCCAGAGTCCATGCTGTCTCTCCAAGGCTCAGAGAGGGGAGGGCCCTAGCCCCTAGCACAGTCAGGGAGGAGCCCATGGAAGCTTCTGATGGAATGTGTGGGATGGCAGGGGCCGTCGGGAGCTAGAGCAGAGAGAATTCCAACTTTTGCCTTGGTGAGTGGAGCCAGGCTCCATGGGGAGTCTGCGGGAGGACTTTCTGATTACTGAAGTAGTGAGCGCCCTGTCAAGCAGGTGTGAGAGCAGAGTCTGATGCCACCCTGTTGGAGGGCAGTTCAGAGGTGAGCGCTGGGCTTCCGAAGGGCCTGAGCCGTCAGAGCTGAACCACCCATTATGCAGGCAAAGGGCCCTGCCCAGGTGTTCACATGGTAGGCTCGGACCGCCTGGCCCCAGCCTTGCCCGCTGGCCACCTTCTCACTGCCTGCAGCTGCCTTCCCATCCCCACCACCACCCATACCCCACCAGGCTGTGGCGAAGGGGCAGGGGCCAAATTTACTATAGGCTGCATGCCTGCCTCACTTTTTCCCATGTGCCTGCTGCTGCTGCTGCTTCTTGGGAGGGAGGGTGGCCCGGTCACTACACAACAACCCCCACCTCCCAACAGAGATGGTAGGATCCTCAGCTGACAGACGCGGAACACTGAGCCCCAGTCTCAAGGTCAGCAATCCCGTCTGCTTAACATACAGGACTGTATTTCATCCTCACAACCATCTGAGGTGGGTCTTGACCTTACTCCCATTTTACAGACCAGAAGACTGAAGTCCAGAGAAGAGAAGTCACATGCCCAGGGCCACACAGCCTGTCATGAGGTCAAGATTCAAACCCCTGTGTGTCAGATTCCAGTCTGTACTTATGCTCTGGCAAGCTGGCGTGAGGGCAGGGAGCAGAATGGTCAGGGAGGCGAAGCTGAAGGCAGACCCAGAGGCCAGATCGTGTGGGCTAAGATGCATTTCATTTCAGGGAAAATCTGGGCAGGCTGCTAGAAAGACGCGAGCTGAGCCTCCAAAAATCAAAATGCAGGAGATGGGTGGAAAGGAACTGCATTCCAGGTGGAAGGCCCAGCTTGGGCAAAGTCCAGGAGGTGTGACAGGTTGTTTGCAGACCTGGCGGTGCCAGGACGACGCTGGGGCTCAGTGTCCGCGGAGGGGAGATGAGGCAAAGCCAGAAGGGTCTTGAACGCCAAGCAAAGCAGGTGAACTTTATCCTGGGGAGCCCCGGGAGCTCTTCGATCAGAAGCGCCCGCCTGTGGCCCCGCCGCCGCGCCCCGCGCCGCCGAGCCCGGCCCCAGAACTTCTGAGTTGCCTGCAGTCATCATCCACACTTTTGCCTTATCCGTGCGCCTGCTCGTCCCCTGGAGCCTTCTGCCGCTCAGGAAGACGCGCCCCGACACCGACATCCACCCCCAGGGAAGCGCTACACCAGCCCCGGCGCGTGCCCGCGGGTGCGCACGCGCCCGCTGCCACCAGGACGTGACTCGCGGAACGTCCGCTCCCGGCGGCGGCAGCGGCGGCCGCGGGGGAAGGGGGGGCAGGGAGGTGCCCCGACAATGCGTCCAGCTTCTGCAGCCGTTGTCGTCTGGGTTGGGAGCTGTGACCCAGTGCTCTCGGTCCGGCAGTTTGAGAAGCTTCCGCCGGTTTCAGAAGTTTCCTCAAGCGCCTGAGGGCGTTCCTCCTGTGGGGTCTCCACTCAGGCACTTACTTAGCCACCCGTTCACCCTTCAGGGGTCCTCACCACCCTCCCTCAAGCTAATTAAGTGACGGACGCAGTAACCTAGGCGACCGCCTGATTGACAGGCATGATTACCAACCAACTTCAGGAATATCCCACCTGGGCCCGCCTGGCGCGTCGCCGGTGGCCCAATGAAAGACGAGGAAGCGCCGAAGGGGCGGTAACGGGGCAGCCTAGGTTGTGGCGGTTCCTTGGTGATTGCGCGCTGGGGCTGAGGCGTTTGCAGGTATTCGAACGATGCCGTGACGCAGCGTGGCGACAGCGTTGACAGCGTGAGCGCATCCCGGTGGAGGGAGCCCTTCGGTCGCGGAGGTGGCGCGGCGTGGAGGCAGATTGCTATTTGAGGGTGCTCCCTCGAAGCCCTTCAGTGGGTGGGGGAGGGGCGGCGGACGATGAGCGGTCCCCGTCTGCGCTTGCGCCGGCACCTCTGCTGACCCGGCCCGCACGCGCGCGCATGCTCGCTGCGCGCGGAGCCGCGGTGGCTGGCCGCACTGCGCGTGCGCGCTGAAGAGCCCGCTGAGGAGCGGCGCTGGCGGACGTCGGGCGGGCGGCCCGTGACGTCGTGAGAAGCGCTTTAAAGTGCGGGCCGGGCCGGGCGTCCGAGGGTCTGGCCCGGAGACAGGCCGAGCCTTCGCGGCAGCCCTCCGAGGCATGAGGCGCTGCCGGCGCCCCTGCCCCTCGGGACGTGGAGAAGGTGGAGGAGGAGGGAGCCCCGTTGCCACCACCGCTGCATGACCTGCCGCCCCTGAGTGCCGACCCCACGCCCGCCCCTTGACGCCCCTCGCCAGGTCCTCCGGCCGCGCATGGGGGCCTGGCACTGAGGACCTCCCTCCCTCCGGGGCCCCGGGGCGTCCCCTGAGAGCCATGCCCGCCCGCCCCGGAGGACCCTAGAGCAGCGTCGCGGGGGCCATGGCGGCCGCCAGCGGTTACACGGACCTGCGTGAGAAGCTCAAGTCCATGACGTCCCGGGACAACTACAAGGCGGGCAGTCGGGAGGCAGCGGCCGCCGCCGCCGCCGCCGTGGCCGCCGCCGCCGCCGCTGCCGCCGCCGCCGAACCGTACCCGGTGTCCGGGGCCAAGCGCAAGTACCAGGAGGACTCGGACCCCGAGCGCAGCGACTACGAGGAGCAGCAGCTGCAGAAGGAGGAGGAGGCGCGCAAGGTGAAGAGCGGCATTCGCCAGATGCGCCTCTTCAGCCAGGATGAGTGCGCCAAGATCGAGGCCCGCATCGACGAGGTGGTGTCCCGCGCCGAGAAGGGCCTGTACAACGAGCACACGGTGGACCGGGCCCCGCTGCGCAACAAGTACTTCTTCGGCGAGGGCTACACGTACGGCGCCCAGCTGCAGAAGCGCGGGCCCGGCCAGGAGCGCCTCTACCCGCCGGGCGACGTGGACGAGATCCCCGAGTGGGTGCACCAGCTGGTGATCCAGAAGCTGGTGGAGCACCGCGTCATCCCCGAGGGCTTCGTCAACAGCGCCGTCATCAACGACTACCAGCCCGGCGGCTGCATTGTGTCTCACGTGGACCCCATCCACATCTTCGAGCGCCCCATCGTGTCTGTGTCCTTCTTCAGCGACTCCGCGCTCTGCTTCGGCTGCAAGTTCCAGTTCAAGCCTATCCGGGTGTCAGAACCTGTGCTTTCCCTGCCGGTGCGCAGGGGGAGCGTGACTGTGCTCAGGTAACCCACCTGGGAGGAGGGGGCCGCCCTGCATCCTGCTGCCTTAGGCTGCCCACCCTGGTTCTGGAGGCAGCAGCCAATAGGAGTCCGCGCTCTTTACAGTTCATCCCCATTCTCCTGTTTGTAGGAGGGGCGGGGAGGGGGAGGGAGTCTGCGTTTAAAACGTGTACTAGTAAGAAAGCGGGGAGGGGTCGGCACCGATCTAGAATTCTGTATCCCAAAGGCATGATCAGGGACTTGACTGTGAATTATCTAAACGCATCTTTTCAGAAAGCTAAGATTTTAGGAGTCTCTTTCTCTTTGTGATTTTAGCAAGTCGCTTTTCCCTTTTGTGCCTCCATTTCTAAATCTGTGTTTAAAAAGAAATGAGTAGAATTTAGTATTTGAGTCTTTCCAACTCTGCCATTCTTGGTTTCCTTAACAGAGAAAATGTTGATGGATTCATTAAGAGAGAAAATACTCACCGAGGAAGGCTCCTGAGTGTACTTAATTGATACACAGTTCTCCGTTCCTAAGAGGAAGAGTGACTTCCCTGGAATTGAACATGTCAGTGATTGGGCCAGGAATAGAGGGCAGCACACTCTTAAAATTTAGCTCTTGTTGGCTGCAAAGGATCCCTTTTGGTCCTTTGTAGGAACATGTTACCTGTTATCAGGACCAAATGAAACAAAATAAAACTCATCTCTTTACCTGGAATTTGGCCCGTGGTTATGTCAGCAGCAGAACTTAGGTTCTTGGCCTATTTTGGGTCCCAGATCCTGCTGAGAATTAGCTCAGTGCCCTGGCCCCCAAAGAAGAGTGCCTGCTGGAACACCTTTGCTGTTTATATGAAGCAGAAGATTTATTTGGAAACCGCCTCCTTCCAGCCCTGAAATAAGTATATCTAGCAATGTACTTCAGTAATCCCCACAACCTCTTAGGAGATCCAGACTGCAGCTGTTCAGAGCGGCTTGGTTGACCACCGAATTCTTGTACAGGATCAGGACACTCGGAGGTTTTGTTGTGAGCAGCTTAATCTCTCAAGTGCAGTCAGTGCTGTAGGCCACGGTCTTGGGCAAAAGTGGGGTCCCTGGAGCCCTCTTAATACCATGAGCAGGTCATCTGTCTCATTTGAGTTGAGTAGCTGAGGCTGCTTCTGTATCTGGGGATGACGGTAGAGCCTTGGAATATCCAGGGTCTCCTGATGGGAAAGTTTGGGAAGTCACTAGTAGCAGAAGCAGTACTTTGGCTTCCTTATGTGTCTCAAACTTAGAGGACCACTTATCTGTCAGGTGGCCCTTTGTCGTTTAGGCTTCTGAGCTTCTCAGGTCTGCACATGGTGCTCCCAGATTGATGTCTTAGCAGAGCCCTTTAAGATGGGATTTCCAGAGCATATCCTCCCGAGTGGCTTGCTGTGTGAGACAGCTTGGTGTCTGACTTCACTGAAGGGCGCTTGGTGCTAAAAGGATCTCACACAAGGGCCATTTGGTCTCTTAATGGGATACTGGTTTTCCACATGGTCACAGGCCCTCAGGGTTGTCTTCAGGAGGTCTAGCACTGGTTGGGTGTGTGATGGAGATCACAAGAGGCACTTTGCCACTTTGAGGCTCTCCCTCCCCCTGTATGCATGCACACCCCTGTATTGAAGAGCACAAGTTCCAAGTTCTTAAAATGCAGGTCTGTTAGTGATCAGCAACGGGATTGCATCATCAGGAAAATTCTCTTCATCCTTTCCTTAGAATAGTAAAACCCTAAAGCTGTCCCAGTCCCTCCCAACCCCTCCTGGTTCTGACTTGGCCGTGGAGTTAGTGTGGGTGGCTCAGCCATGTCCTGAAAAGTGCTGCCCCAGGCTTTGAATCCAGCTCTCCTCTCATTTGATTTGGGATCTTGTGGGTGTTCTTTGAGCTGCTTTCCCATCTATAAAGTGGGGGCTATGCCAGCTTTTTTTTTTTTGAGGAACATCAGCCCTGAGCTAACTACTGCCAATCCTCCTCTTTTTGCTGAGGAAGACTGGCCCTGAGCTCACATGCATGCCCATCTTCCTCTGCTTTCTATGTGGGACGCCTACCACAGCACGGTTTGCCAAGCGGTGCCGTGTCCGCACCCGGGATCCGAACCAGTGAACCCCGGGCCACTGAGAAGCGGAACGTGCAAACTTAACGGCTGCGCCACTGGGCCGGCCCCTATGCCAGCGTCTAAAGCTTATTAGAATTAAATGTGATTTGGTGTCTGACATAGGATAGGGCCTGGCACAGGGTAGGCCCTTAAATGGGTGCTTGCTTTCGTACACAACTATTTAATCATCCTGTGGTCTCTCACTGCTGATGGGGCTAGGGATTTGGTGGAGCCTAAAACATGGGTTTTCCCTTCCTAGAGTTCACAGCCCAGGAAGGCAACTGCAGGAGTACATTGAGGGGGGACATCTTAACGGGCTCTGGAGTGTTGGAAGTTTTTGAGAGGAAGTAAGCTGGAACTTGAAGGGTAACTAGGAGTTAGCCAAGCAAAGAAGGGGGTGGGGTGGGAGCACACAGCAGCTTTCGTGGCAGTAGGGGGTGTCGGGGTGGGGGCAGGTAGATGCTGACTTGAGGCAGATGGAGTTCAGTATTAGTCCTCAGATCCACGCTGGACCTGAAGTCGAGGTTCCGGTGAGGCATGCCTTGGCGAAGCTCTTGACCTTTGGGGCTGGCTAATTGTTGTGAGGGGGCTGTCCTGTGCTTTGTAGAATGTTTAGCAGCATTCTTGGCCTCTGTCCACTAGATGCTGGTAGCACCTTCTGTGACAAGCCAGAATGTCTCCAGACATTGCCAAGTATTCCTTGGGGAGCAAAATCGTCCCTAGTTGACAGCCACTGCCCTAGCAGTCTGGATACCCCTGCTAATTTAAATCTTCTAGCACCTGCTCCCTTAGCACTCTCAGCATACTTGGTGTGCAGGTGGGTGAAAATCTGTCTGATAGTATTGCCTCTCTTAAAATCCTGCTTGGGCTCATCCCCAAGCTGGTGAGAGGCCTTGCTTGCTTTTAATTCCTGTGTGTATCCCCGGCCGGAGGTGATGAGCTGTACAGTTGCAAACTGGAAAGTAGGGCTGATGAAAAGAGTGGTTCTCTGCAGATGGGGAGGGGATCTAGTAGTTCTCATCTGACTCAGACTTCAGTTGTTGGTAGCGGTGGTGACTATAGCCGTCCAAGGCCACATGGCAGGAATTCAGTTTTATATTTAATAGTTGTTAGTGTGTGGCAAACATTGACTCAGCAGTGTCCAAACGTGGGCATTTGGAGCAAGCCCTCACAGACCCTTCTGGAAGTGCTTCAAACTTTGTCCAAACCCAGTTGGCAGTTGTTTTCTTGTTACCTTCCTGTGTTAGGCCTGGGTGAGTTTCCTCTTAATGATGTTCTCTAGGGAAATAAATATCTTTTACTGCCTCTTCATGTCACTTCATCCCACATTCCTTCTCCTGTTCCCTGTAGGATGAATGGGCAGATTAAAACAGATTTCAGTTGGATTAATTAGAATAATTACCTCAAGGCTAATTGCTTACTTGCTGCGACTTTTAATCACTGCTGCATGGTCTGAGGTTGTGGTGGCTACGTGCCCAGAGACCCAGGCTTTAGCCACCTGTCTGGAAATGATGTATTACCCAGCCATGGGACACGCAGAGGTGAGCTTAGCCTGTGACTTGCAGTTAACAGTTGATATTGGGTGGAGTGGGCACCCCTGTCAGTTCTGGGCTAAGGGCTGATCTTGTTCAGCTGGTTGAAAGCAAAATTTAGCTTTTGGCTTAAAATAGTTGGGAAAGTAGGGCAGATAGGTCCTAGGCCACGTCTCTTGTGTAGAATCTTCTGATTCCAGGGGAGGGGGAGGAACCTCAGGAAGAAGTCAGGGCTGTGCATTCTCAGGAGGAGCTCTGGGCCCGGGGTTGGCTAGCCTCGGTTCTGCCAGGCCTGACAAGAAGGCAGAGGGCAACAAAGGAAAGGAAGCTAGCAGGCGAGCCATGAGCTTAATCATGAAGCTCAGAGCAAGCAGAAAATAAATAGGCCATAAAAATTTCAGGGTGAGCTGGCCATTTTTGGCTGGGCAGTTGGTGTGCAGCCGTCACTAAGATATGGTGCTATCTTCCTGGGGCCATGGGTTCATCTTTGCGGACTTCTTCCATGGGGGTGGTGAGTATGCATGTGTCCTTTGTTGAGGCCAGCAAGATCCCGAGGACAGATTGGACCTTGTCACCAGGAAACACAGGTGGGCTTTTCTTCCTACGCCTCAATACCTACTTTCCCACCAAAAAACAAAAACCAGTGTAGCATAGACACTGAACCTAAGAGTTTGATTGGAGTTCCACTGTCAGTACTTAGCTGTTTGACCTTGGGCAAGTTATTTAACCTCTCCGGGCCTTAGTTTTCCTCTGCAGAATGGGGCTCTTGATGCCATAGAGTTGTTAGAGAAGATTGGATCTCTTTCACACTACTGAATGCTTGAAGTTTAGGTAAAACGTTTCTGGAAATGAGTTGCCTTCCACGCTCAGCTACTCTTTTTTTTTTTAAGATTTTATTTTTCCTTTTTCTTCCCAAAGCCCCCCAGTACATAGTTGTATATTTTAGTTATGGATCCTTCTAGTTGTGGCATGTGGGATGCCACCTCAGCATGGCTTGATGAGTGGTGCCATGTCCGTGCCCAGCATCCGAACCGGTCAAACCCTGGGCCGCTGAAGCGGAGTGTGCGAACTTAACCACTCGGCCACAGGGCCGGCCCCTCAGCTATTCTTTATACCTTGATCTGTATAGAATTGGGACTTGGAGCAGGTTGACTCTCTTCCCTCTGGATTCAGAAAGCCCCAGGGCTTCTCATAAAATTAGACAATCTGTCTTGGAGTTTCGGGTCTGGTTCTAGCTTGAGTCTGAGCTCACAGTTCTACCCCTGTGCCCAGGTGGCTTGCCTGCTGCCCCCCAAAGCCTCAGCTGCTCAGTGCTGTGGGCTTCTCAGTAGTGAGGCAGGCTTGTGGGGGCTGCCCAGAGCAGGTAGCCCCAGCCAGAGGGAGGCTGCCACGAGGCCGATATGTTGGCCAGTCTCTCCATTTCTGGTTCTGTACTGTCCTGGGCAAGGCACGGAGTAGATGGGGAATGGTGGCCATCTTAGAAATGTGCCTTAACAACTCAGTCTCCAAGACTGTCCTCTAGGGGAGAGAGGTCCAGTCCTGCTCAGTCCCTCATAGAGAGTTTTCCCAGTTCCTCATTTAGCCTGTACCTTATCCTCTGAGGAGGGACTTGGTGCAGTCTCTGTCTTGCAGATGTAGAAACAGAGACTTCAAAGCAGTAGAACAGTTGAGCTCAGCACACGTTTCATTTAGTGTCCGCTGTGTGCAGAGATGAGTTAGGCCTTGGTGGAGCTTTGTCTTGTAGGGAAGACACACTTTCCTCAAGGCCAGATGTGGTAGTCCAGAGGCATGGGTGGGCGGTGCCGGGAGTTGAGGAAAGCTTCCCAGGGGAGGAGAGAAACTCTCGGGAGTCCCTCTCAGGCATAGAGCTGGTGGACGACAGAGCTGGGTCTGTTGGTCTTGATGACTGCAGCATACTAGTCACTGCTGCGTAGAGTCGGGGGTCTCAAGGGGGCTCAGCCCAGGCAGGGAGCGGGCCGGCTGACCAGCATGAGGTATTTCCTCCTCTCCCTTCCTTGTGAAAACAAAAGAGTGGGAGGCACTGGAACTTTTCTTCATGCCAAGGGTAGGGCTGGACCCAGGGCGTATTAAGTTTCAAGCTGGTAGACTGGACTTTCAGTTTCTTGTAGCAAGTAGGTTTCTTAGCAGTAAATAATCCTCCGTGGTCTCTGGTAGACACTTTCTGCTCAAGTTTGGCCAGAAGAGCTTTCCTTGGTTGGGACTTTGAGCCTCCTGCTCCCAGAGGAGCCCGATACTCTGAGGAGGTTGTCAGTAGGCTGTGTCACACCTTCCAGGAGGATCTGGAAGACCAGTGTTAATGAGCTCTTCAGGTGGAGTTAGGGCCACAGTCATTTCTGTGGACCTGTGCAGGTCTGCCTCTGTGCTAGCTCTTCTGAGGCCGCAACCTGGCGTGGCTTGTTCTTTATTCTAGAGCCCTTTGGGGGGCATTTAAGATTTGACCACCGTCTGGATTTGCTCCAGAATTGCATTAAGAGAAGTGGTTCCTTTTTGGAGATAGGAAGTCAGCACCCTTAGTAGTGCCTGTTGCCATGTCAAACAGATTGATAATACTTGTTAATAGTAGGGAAGGTTACCTGTAGCCAGTACTGCAGATTCAGGCCTTAGAAATGTGCCTTGGAGTGCCTTCAGGGAATTGGACTTAGCTCTTTGGGGAAGTTCTGTGTTGATATGGGACTGCCTTGCCGCCCAGACCTGTGCTCACCCCAGTGTGGAATGGGACAAGAGATGGGAAGAGACCTAGAGCACCTAGCCCTGAGAAAGGGGCCCAGGAGTCCCTTCTCTGCTGGCAGATCCCTGCAGGGGGCACCCTGGATCACATTGCCTTGACAGTGCTGGACCCAAGGTTCTCATTTGCCCCAGGATGGTCCTGGGCCCTCTGGCTTGTGGCAAGTGCTTTGTAAATGGGAGTGGGGTTCCAGGCACATTGTGTTACCTAGCTTGAGTCTCACAACAGCCCTACGGGTAGGCCTCCCACTGCCCCTTTCCAGGGGTGCCAACCACGTAGTCACATAACTCTGTAATCCTGTCTGGAAGGGAGGGGGCAGTGTCTCCCTTTTAGAATCTTAATTCATTAGTGGCCAGAAAAGAATACCTGAGTTATAAAGCATAGCAAAATGAACACCCAAGAACCTGCTGTTGTCTGTGTTACAGATGAAGAAACTGAGGTTTAAGCCCAGCAAATGACTTAGCCAGGATCGCAAAGTTAGTAGTTAATAAAGCTCGGGTTCGAACCCAGGTCTCTTCAACTCCTCAAACTCTAGGTGGAGTTTCTTACTGTGGGCCTACAGATATTAATAGGGGTTATTTGAAAGAAGGTTCTTTGGTCAGTGCTCAGTTAAATAAAGTCAGCAGATTCTTTTGCATAGTAATTGTCAGATCCTTTAACATATAATCCTTTTTTAAGATTTTATTTTTCCTTTTTCTCCCAAAGTCTCCCAGTACATAGTTGTGTATTTTTAGTTGTGGATCCTTCTAGTTGTGGCATGTAGAACGCTGCCACAGCATGGCTTGACGAGTGGTGCCACGTCCGTGCCCAGGGTTCGAACTGGCAAAACCGCCGAAGCAGAGTGCGCGAACTCAACCACTCGGCCACAGGGCTGGCCCCTATAATCCTTTTTTAAAGTCTTCAATATTTTGCAAATTGATTTGACTGTGGACATTTGTCCGCAGTTTCTCGTGGGACTGGTGTTCACAGAGAAAACTGAAAAACTCTAGTCTAGGAGCAGCTCTGAGGGGAAATCCCTAAAATAAAGGTTCTTTTCTCTGTCCTCAGCGTGGCCTCAAATCAGGTTTCCAAATCAGAGGTGTTTCCCTCTTGGGCTTTTTATTTTTTATTCATTCTTGCATCCAGTTCTTGCCCAGAGTTGAGGGAGCCTGGCTGTTTTGAGGAGTCCTTCTTGGGCCTGGAGTGTTTCTGACAGTTAAGCTTGTGTCTTTCCAGCTGCCCCTGAGAAAGTTGGTGATTAGCAGCCATGTAGAGGGAGATTTGTGGTCCAGGGTCAGTCAAGGGGATCCGGAACAGAAGGAGAAGGCACTCACCTCCCACTAGGCCGTGGCTGTGTCTCTGGCTGTGTCAAACTGCCTCAGCTCAGTGGAGGAACTTGGGATGGGGTGCCTCTTCGATGCCATGCTCCCAGTGAGGGCATGTGAGGGAAGCTGAGTTTTCTTCCAGAATTTCCAGTCGGGAAGACATTAGCTGTGAAGAGGACAGTCATCTACCCGCGCTCATAGGTCTGTGAGCAGTTTTAAAAATTATGTAACTTGATGAAAATAAATAGATGTTTGAGTGTGATGGAAATTCTTAAAATATTCCAAACACAGCTGTCTTCAAGATTTTGGATCCCCCCAAATGGTGGTTTTTGAAAGCTTTTTTTTTCAAGTAGGCAAATTCTCTTTTTGAACATTGCAGTCTTAGTTCTCTCTGGTGACTCAGTGCTGTCAGCGTCTGCCTTGGCTTCCTCTGCGTGCCAAAGGGTTGGGGGAAGGGAGGGAAGAAGGAGGAGGAGATGGGCTTCTTGTCTTCTCTCCAAGGCCGCTAACAGTGTACCCTCTTGAGGGCCCTTTAAAAGAAGGGCTCCTGGCCTGAGCAGGGAGATTCCTGCTTCAGTTTCTGCCTTAAAGGCCCTCTTTTGCCTCATCCCAGGTTTTTCCTTGAGGGGCTTCTGGGCAGAAGTGTTCTGGAGCTTAACATGTTATTTCCCTTCCATGTAGATCCTTGAACATCTCGAATAATGGGGCAGAGGGCAGCCTTCAGACCTGAACCATATTTCTTTTCCCTTACCCCTCAGGAGCTTTGGTTGTCTGTTCACTCTCCATGCTCACTTGCCCTGTGTTTATTTTCAGTGGATATGCTGCTGATGAAATCACTCACTGCATACGGCCTCAGGACATCAAGGAGCGCAGAGCGGTCATCATCCTCAGGAAGTAAGTGCCCTGGTGTCTAGCACCTGCAGGCCTGTCTGGAGATGGAGGTCGGGGTTCTCTGTAGCAGTAGCATAGTAGCGTGAAGCCTGGGAGAGAGGTCTCCTACTTTTTGATTTGAATTCTGTGAGGATAAAGTTGTTTTTTCTTTCCTTCATCAAAAAATTAAGCTCTATGGCTGTTTAGGAAGTTTAGGGCTGAGCAAATGCACATGCTCCCGGTGTTTATGGTCACAGTCTTGAGATAAGATTTGGGGAACAGTTCCAGATGCCCCTCTTCTTTTCCCCACCTCCTAGGTTCTGATTTGTCACATGTTCTCTTGCTGATTATTTTTAGACTGTGCCTTAGTGGCCTGCTTTAAAAATCCCTGGATTTTCACTTCTGGAAGGATGAGGGAATAAGAAGAGGAAATGAAGATGGGAGGTTAGGCTGCAGTGTTCTGCAGACACATGGCTTGTGGCTGTCCCTCCTCTCTGGCCAGAGAGTCAGGGGTATACTGACCGACATCACCAAACCCGGCCTTAGCAGTGCTGCTTTTTGTCTGCCCATGGGGTGAGTGGACTGAGCCATGCAGACACTGGGTCAAGACAAGCCTGCCTTACAATGGAGTTTCAAGAGGCTAGGTGATTGCCCAGGGTTGTATAGATAGATGTCCAGAGTTGTATAGATAGATGTCAGTGAGTAGAGCAGGACCAGTCCCTAGACCCAGGCTGGAGCAGGGTGTCCTGTAGCTTGCCATCTTTTTTTTTAATTAAACTTTATTTCTCAGTATAGTTTTGGATTTTCAGAAAATTGTGATGATAGGACAGAGAGTTCCCATGTATCCAACACCCCATTTCCCTTACTAATGCCTTACACTAGTGTGGTACATTTATTACAATTAATGGACCAATAGTGATCTGTGATTATAAACTGAAGTCCCTATTTTCTTCAGGTTTCCTTAGTTTTTGCCTAATGTACCGTTTTTGTTCCAGGATCCCACATTACATTCAGTGGTCTCCTCTTGGCTGTGACATGTTCTCTGACTAGCCTTATTCGTGATAACATTGACTAGTCTGGTGTTTTGCAGAACATTTCTCGATTGGGGTTTATCTGAGGTTTTTCTCACGGTTATTAGGTTTTCTCATGGAGTTAGAGGTTTGGGGGAGGAAGACCACAGAGGTAAAGCACGTTTCTCCTCATGTCCTATCTAGAGCCCAGGACTCGTCCCTGTTGACGTTGACCTTGAACGCAGGGCTGAGGTCGTGTTCATCAGGTTTCTGCACTGTAAAGCCCCTGTTTTCCTCCCGTCCTCTTAGGAGGGAATTTGCTGTGGGCAGCTCACGCTTGAGGAGTGGGGAGTTAGCGCCAGCCCCTCGAGGAGGGAGTAGCCGCACAGCTTATTTGGAATTCTTCGGCTCAGGAGGTTGTTTCTTCTCTCCCATTTGCTCATTTCTGTATTCAGTCATTTACTTGGTATGTATTTTATGCTCAACTTGTTCCAACTTTGGCCATTGAGAGCCCTCTCTTTTTTAAAGTACATCTTTACCTTCTGGCTTGCCATCTTTTAAATTTCAGTCAGTAACTTTGGCGTCTTGGCCATTTGGGTCCAGAACTCGAATAATGTGGTGGTGAAGTCTCTGGCATGGCTCTGCCACTTTGTCAAGTCACAACTTTGAGTGTCTATTTTATCATCTGTAGAATGGAGGTGATGCAGACGTGTGGGTAATCTCATGGTGCAGGCAGAGCACTGGACACATTTGGGAGCTTCAGACAGGGATCATCTTGGCAGTTGCAAGCTTCTCTCCTCTGGCCTAAGAATATGCCAAGAATTCATCAGAAGAAAGGTTTTTATCTGCCTTTCCACTTTCTTTTCCACTGGTTCCAGCACAGCCAAAAACCCGGAACCTGGAAGTGATGGAGCCAAGAATGTAGCTCCCCTCTGGCCTCTTTTCCCCAGTCATTTCTTCTCAGGCTATAGCTGGCATCTCCAGCTGCAGCCAGGGACAGGTGGCCCACCTAAGCTAGGAACCTGGAGAGGAATTCTCACGGTAATATAGAACCAGAGCTACAACTTCCCAGGTGTTCCCTCCAAGCCTCTCATGGTAGCTTATCCCAGGGAAATCTTCACTGGAGGTGCAAATGGAGGTGGCCATAGCCAGAGTGTCAGGTCACTCTTCCAGCTGTTTCCTTCCCCTTGAATGGTGGCTCCCATACTTGGCTGCCCAGGCTGGCTGAATCAGATGCTCTTTGGTGGAGCTAGGAGTCTACATGGTTAACAAGTTCCCTCGGGAAGCTCTTTGGCCAACGGGGCCCCTGGCTTTGGAGGCAACAGAGGAGGACAATTCAGGCTGATGAGGAGCAGCTCCAGAGTAGGTAGCTTGTGTTGAGGCATGTGTTGGAAAAGAACAAGCTGATGACAGGATGAAAAGATAAGCATCCTGGCCCAGGTGCTGCCTAGATCTCGGGGATATGGAGTTGGTGCGTACCTGGCTGACTTGGTGTCTTCTGGTGAAGCCGAGTCCAGATGGGTGGAATTTGGCCATTGAGTCTGGTCCTGCTCCTCATTGGCAGAGGGCGTAGAGCCAGTCCTGCCTTCTTTTAAATTCAGATAAGGATTGCACGTGCTGCTGAGCTCTCTGACCAGCTCTGATCAGTCAGAATTGGGATGGTCTTTCTAAAGGTCTCAGGGTGGGAAATGGGTGGGCGGCTGCCAAGTACTTTCTGGTTCAACAAAATTTGGCTCCTTTGAATGTGGGTGGTGCTGAGTCTTCACACACGTGGTGCTAGCATTTCTCACAGGGAGGACTAGGAGGCTGGAAGTGACCTTCTGAGAGCTTCCACAGGAGTGGAATCCTCAGGCTGCAGCTTAGTGTTATTATCTGTTTCGGTTAAACAGTAAATGGCTGAGTGAGGCCTTGAACCTGGGTCTCCTGGTGCTGGGTCTTGTTATCCATTGGTGGTTTGCACAGTGGAGCACCCCAAGCCCTGCTCCTGCCCCAGTGTGTCATTGGGGTGGATTCCGTGAGTTTAAGAAACAAGCTCACGGATGGAAGAGCTTTCTTGCCTCTGCTGTGCAGGTAGAGAGCTGATTGGTGAGTGTTTTAAGAGGCAGGGGGGCTACTCTACAGAGAGTGCAGTGAGGCAGCGGCTGCAGGTTGGTCAGCTCCTCGGCATCTGCCAACTTCCCTGAATGTCACTGTTTCTCAGCCCACCCAGGGCAAGCTGCCCAACATGCGTCTTTGTCAATCATTGGCACCCCTGGCAGGGAAAGTGGACCCTAACTTTTTTGAAGGTGTGGTTAAATTTTGAAATTGCTGGTTAGAGAACAAAGAGGCTAACCAATTATTGGGGCGTAGCAATTCATTGGGGCCAATGCGAGGGTGAGGGATGTTCTGTTTTTTTCTAGAGTTCCCTAATGTGCAACCTTCTGAAGGACCTTGTGTGCTGCCCCATGCCAAGTAGCCACCTACTAGATGCCAGACACTGGGTAGAGTGCTGCCTACACGTTAACCCTCGGAGTAGAGAGTGTGAACTCTGTTTGGAAAGAGGCTCAGGTAGGAAATGAGCTGCCTCAGGTCATCTAGCTAGTTTGGAGTGATCTTTGAGCAAGGATTCCTGACTTGGAAGTATCAAGCATCTACCATACACAAAGCACCCGAGGCAGGTGTGCAGGAGACTTAGCGCTCCCTTGGTGCTTGGTATTTAATAGGCTGGCACTTTGCATGCCAGTACAGCACAAGCAGAGTGAGCTCTGTCTTAAAAGTGCAGGGTGTGTCCCTTGGGGCCCCGCAAAAGTAACAGTACATCCAGCTTGTGTAAGCCGGGAGCAGAGTTTAAGGTAAAGACGGGCTTAGTAGATCTGGCTCCTGAGCTAGAGATGCTGGCCAGGTAGAAATGGTAAGCTCAAAGGCTGGAAGGTGGGAAGTATAGAGGACCTCTATAGTGAGGGGTGTTGGGGGAGGAGGCCTTGGATCAACACCTGCTCATTAGGGGATGGCTTGTGGGCCCTCAGGCCTTCCAGTTGGTGGCCAGGACGCCCAAACCCTTGGTCTTCAGGAGGGCCTCAGGGCTGTACTCGTTCTGCCTACAAGACTTTATTCCAGCATGTTAGCCTCTCCCGTTCACCAAGTAAAGTGGCTCAAGGCAGTGTAAATAGCCCTCTTCTTGGTCAAGTCGTGCTCAGCTAAGAGTGGGCTGAAGCTAGGAAAAGCAGCTAGAGATTCATTTGCCAAATGTTAACCAAGGCTAGTGTGTGCTAGGCTCTGTGCTAGCGCCAGGAATGGTTAGTATACTAGTCTCTTATTCCCTTTGTCCTTGGGGAGAAGGCAGACGTTTAGCACCTTACCAGGGACCGGGCAAGGAAGGCTTTCCAGAGAACTGCCACCTGAAGGTGGTCAGGGATGTGTGGGCCTCAGGCATGCATAGGAACGGCTCAGGGGCAAAGCCAGGACAGGCAGAAGAGATGCTCTTTACAGAGACTCAGAGTCTGGGGACTCTGAGGAAGTCCATTCTGGAATACAGAGTAGAGATGGAGTGGAGCGCTTGATACAATGTAAGCTAGTCAGAGAAGACTTTGTGTTGTGCCAGAGAAATCGGGAGGGCACTGGAGCCATTGAGGCATGTGAGCAGTAGGCTGGTGAGGGATTTGCATGGGAAAGATTGTTTGTAGGAGGTTGAGCTAAATGGCTTATTTGGTCATTGAGGCTTAAGGGTCCCAGAGGTCAGAGGAAGGCCCTCCCTGAAAGCAGAGCAGCCCAAATGTAGGCTGTATGTGTGGATGAGTGGAGGGTGAGAATGGAGGGTGTGCTCTGGGCTTCGTCCCTCAGGGGAGTGCAGAGGAGTGGCTGGCTCTTGGTTTCCCTGACCAGGCCTAAGACATTGCCCCCACCGAGACCCTTGCCATTGCTTCTGTCTCCGTGATTCTTGTCTCCTGTGCCAAGGGTTAGGTTAGCCCACCTTTCTTCCCTGGTCCAGTGAATGTGTGTGTCAGCATGCATACACTCTGCTCATTTGGCAGCCTGACCAGCCTAATATGTCCACAATCTGCCCAAGGAATAAGGGGGCAATGAGATCACCAGGGGATGTGACTGGCTTGGGCTTCTGGCCTGGCTCTGCCTCCTCCTCACTGAATACCAGTCAGTTACCTGTATGTTCTCACCTGTAAATTGGGGCAGTTGTAGTGCTGGGGATGGTTAAACTCAAGAATGCTGTGTGTGCTTCTCCTAGCTCCCTCCTCACCATACCTCCCCTCTGAGCTTGAGGGGTCAGGGGTGGGAGATGAGGAAGGCTGTGCCCAGTTGAGGTACAGTGTGAGCAGAGGTACACAGAGTGGGAGGAAAGGGGGACCCAGAGGTGGCGTTCAGTGACCCAGGTGGAGGGAAGGTAAGCTTGGTGTCTTGGAGAGGCTCCCCTTGGGACCTGAGTATCTTGCAGGGTATGTATGGGTGGAAGTCTGCTGGAAGCCCAGGACCATGTGCTTGGGGTGCCCTCTCTTTGTGTGATACCCATCATGTGCCTTATAGGCTCTTCTGACTATGGCAGTCTTCTACATCTGTCTCAGAACTGCCTTGTGGGAGAGCAGGGCAGGAGTTGGAGAGGGTGATGTTGGAGGGAGGTTGATGGGGGGCGGTGCCAGGAGGGGGTAGGTACTATTGCAGGAGAGACAGCAGCACAGCTCTGGGCTTTGTGGGAGTCTGATACTCAGAAGTGCTGGAGCCTAAGTCACTCAGTAGACAAGGGGGTGCTCAGCATGCCCCCTGCACTACTCCCTGCCTCCTGGCTCCTTCGGGAAAGCCAGGCTTTGTAGCACAAGGGGACTTGGTGAGGGTGGAGCCAGAAGTTGAGGGAGTGGTTGCCAGCAGGACCTGAAGTGCACCGTCTCCCAGAAACGGTGGTCCGGTGGTCTGCCTGACAGCTCTCTGCTGCAGTGAAGAGAGCCCACCTGGGCTTCAGAGGCCGTTATGGGGTCGTAGCTGTGTGACTTAGGCCAGTGATTGGTCTCTGAAGTAGCATTTCTTCCTACCCCCGCAGTGGGAATAATCTTACTCACAACTTCAATCGAGGATTCTATGAATGATGAAGGAATAGGAGGGGAGCATCTGGGACAGGGTCAACTCCCTTTTTTTCCCCAAGTAATTTTGTTGAGATCATAATAGTTTATAACATTTGGTCGTTCTCCCTTTGTTCTGGCTTCCCCTGTACCTAGGCCCAGTCCCCGCTTTGTCCTGGGGGCTGTCCTGACACCCTGAGTGACCTTTCTGGGTATAGTGGTCTGCCTGATTAACCCTCACCCTATGCCTGCGGTGCCTTGCTGTGACCCTGGATGTTGACTCAAATCTGTAACACAGGTCTTGGTTCCTGTTGTACCTGAGGAGGCCCAGGCTCAGACCTTATTGCTGGAACTGGGCTTCCTTACTCCAAATTTGTGGCCCTGTCCGCTGAACCCTGAGGGGCCTGGCCTGCTCCATGGGAGTTGGCTGCCTTTTAAGAGGGGCTTGCTCTGAAGTTAAGCTGCTGGTGAGCTCTGGGCTGGGCATCTGGCTTTAGTCTGGCCTCCTGCAGCTTAGTGGCTTTTGGGAAGTGGAGGGAGAGCAGGAACTTCTCCGGCACTTCCGAGATGTTCTTGTAACAGCTCCAGGGGATATGTCAGGAGCCCTTTGGGCCCCAGAGCTCATACTGTCTGCAAAGTGGGTATAGGAGGCTGAGTATCTGGTAGGGCCACCTCTGATCATCCCCCTTCTGCGGGCTGCCCCCTGATGACAGCAAAGCTGCCATGGCAGAGAACAGCACCCTTCTCTTCCTTTAGGCGGCTAGAGAGAAACAGCCAGTCCGTGTCCCTGGCCTGTCTGTCTAGTCTCAACTTGTCTCACCTGTCTCCCCAGCCTCTTGAGCAGTCCTAGACCCATGGTGAGGGGCCACTACCACTGTCCTCGAGCTGTGGGGACACACCAGGGCTAGGCATGTGCCAGCTTTGCCTGTGTGGCACAATATGTTCCTGTTTTCTAGTCTTGGAGGTGGGTAAGCCAGGCTCTCCTCTTGGTGGCTCCATTGTTTCTTGCCATCTGTCAGTCACCTGAGGAAACAATTCCAGGGTGGTAGGCCTTGCCCTCCAGGGCTTAATTGAAGCTTCTTCGGTAAACGGGCTTTCCTGTCCTGAGTGTGTGATCCCTGGCACCTGTGGCGTATTAGTGTCAGACTTAGCTCCACAGTGCCAGAGGGGAACGTGTTGGACTTAGCTCTGTGGTTGCAGAGGGGGCTTTCCTCCATGAGGCTTCAGACCCTTGGAGTCTCTGTGTCAAGCTTAATGGCTTTTGTCTCATTTGGTGTGATTTCTGCCACCTGGACCTTTCAGCGCAGGGCTAGGAGGCCTGTCCAGGTAAAGATGAGGTCCTTGGGGCTCAGGTGATTCTAATTCCCACCCTCATGTTGGCTGTTGCCCAGCACCACTTCTTCCTGGTGCCCCTCTAAAGAATCCTAGCCTTGAAGGAGGTGACTTGTCTTCAATTTCTAGACCCTCAGAACTGAAAGAGGCTTTAGAGCCAGTCCACATTTCTCCCTCCTTTACTTAGGTGGGGAAACTGAGGCCCCGAGAGGGATGGTGACTAGGTTGGATTCTGAGTGGCAGCATCAGGGCTGGATCTTCTCCTTTGCTGCTAGGGCCTGCTTCCCTGAACTTGGAGTGCCCACAGTGGAGGCTCAGACTGGTGGGCCAGACTGTACAGCTGGGCCCCTCTGACCTCCTTGTCTTTGAGGCCAAAGCAAAGGGGCAGGGACCGGCTACCCTTCCTGCCTGCCCACCAGTTTGAGCCTGAGGGCATCAAAACATTGGTTTCCAACCAGAAGGCACCCTCTGTTAGCCTCAGGATAAAGACCTCTGTGGCTCCTGCCTGTCTGGCTTAGAGTCTCACCTGGGCTTCAGCCTTTCTCCCATGACTTGCAGGACACGTGACTTACCGCCTTTCTGACCCAGTTTTCCCCATGTATTTACAGCAGGCCAGCCTGTAGGGGTGGGGGGGATCTGTGAGGACTGGATGCAGTTGTTACCAAGAATGCCAAGCAGCCTAGGCCAAGGCAGCTCTCGGATTTCCCTCCTGCTCTCTTCCCCTCATCGTTCTCATGAGGATGTCCTTTGAGTCCTGCCCTGACTACAGCACCTTATTCCTCAGAACCGAGTTAGTACTTTGTACACAGCAGCCCATGAGAAAGATGCCTTCAGCACTTCTCCGGTTGTGCCCCCATTGCTCCCCACCCCAGGCCTCACTCCTGCCCCTTGCTGCCACTGGCCTGATTTGCCAGCCTTCTGTGTACTCTGTATACAAGAAGCCTCAGGGCTTCTTTGAACTTTCCCAGGCCAGCTTCCTCCTGACCTGGCTTCAGAAAGGACTCCGATCACTGTCTAGGCTACCTCCCTGCCCAGCTTCTCCATCCCCCTCTGTACTTGCATGTTTTCCCTTTACTAGGTGCTCTGTTCCTTGAAACTCACTCCCAGTGCTAGGTGAGGACTTTGCCTTCAAAAGCCCTCTGGCCCTGGCTCGGTTAGTATCCTGGAACGAGCAGAAGCTGCCAGGTAGCTGTGGTGGGACCAGAGCCAAGTGTGTGAATGTGGAATTGGTCCTGGGCTCTCTTGGCTCTGCACAGCCTCAGTCTCCCTGTGTGAGAGTAGGGAATCTCTTACTCTGTTCCCCTCAGCCCTTCCACAAGACTGGACCAGGGGAGCCTTCCTGTCTTGATATTTCAGGCAAAGATGGAGGTATCTGTTGGAGTATGTTGGGGCCCTCAGTCCTCTGGTAGGTGGAGTAAATGCCCCTGGAGAACCTGAGTCGGGTGTGGTGGGGCTGCCTCGTCCAGCTGGGAGAGAGCCCTGGGATCTTCCCCCGGGAGCAACAGATCTCTATCATTGGAAGTTTCATAAGGAAGTCTCCGAATAGAAGTATTCCTATTCCTTGCTCCTAAGCCTGAACTTAAGACAGAGGGTCTTTGGAAGTCAGCTAGACCAATATCTAGTTGAACCATGAGGAGGCTGAGGCACAGAGCAGAGACTGCTAGCATCCCCATTCAGCCTGGCCAGAGAGAGAATTGATCTGATGGGGCCCACACCTTCACCAGAAGCTCACTGGCGACCCCATGTGTGTTCCCTTTGCAGGACAAGATTAGATGCTCCCCGGTTGGAAACAAAGTCCCTGAGCAGTTCCGTGTTACCACCCAGCTATGCTTCAGATCGCCTATCAGGAAACAACAGGGACCCCGCTCTGAAACCCAAGCGGTCCCACCGCAAAGCAGACCCTGATGCTGCCCACAGGTACTCAGCTTAGGACCCTCAACAAAGGGCAGCAAAGTAGCCTCATGGCCTGGCTGCAGGGGAGATGGGTGGGGAAGCCTGGGGTAGGTGGTTAGGAACCTGACATTGCCCACCTTTCGAAAGCCTTACGTCTGGTTCCCCTGGGTTGGTGACATTGGTGGCATTCTCACCTAACCTCTGACTGACTGCCTGTCTCCCACAGAGAGAAGGAGTTGGGCTGAGACTCTGACAAGTGGGAATGCTTTGTGTTCTGTCCATGGCTTCCCTTGTTCAGTCCACCCAGACACACTCTTGTGGGTTATACTTAAATGTTAGGAGATAAGCTTGAGACTTGGAAGATATCGGACCAGGGACCCATTTCAGAAGGGTTGGGAAGGTTTCTGAGGAAGTATTTGTTTAAGCTGAGACCAGAAGGATGAGGAAGATGTGCGGCAAGGGCATTCTAGACAGGAGGTACTATATGGGCTGAAACCCTGAGGCCGGAAGAGCTTGGTGGTTTCACGCTCTAGTAGGGTTGGTGAGCAGAGGTGGGGTGGGCAGAGAGAGAAAGTGGGAGTAGAGGGCATGGTTGAGAAATAGAGGTAGACAGCGGGATCTTGAGGCTGTGAGAGGGCAGGCCTCTTTCTGTGTGGCAGCCTTGGCAGTATGGGGCCCTGGGCTCCAGAGCCAAGCAGACCCCTCAGGGTAATTGGGAAGTGTCTCAAAGACTAGGAGTGCCGCTAGTGGGCAAAGAGTACCATGCCAGTGCGTCTGCTAACATCTCTCCTTGTGGAGAACCATCGAGCTGAGTATGCCAGGTGAGGGTCAGACCCTGGCACAGAGGTGGGAGGCCAGGCCCCTTGGCCAGCCTCTCAGGTAATTCCCCACCCCTTTCCTTGCAGGCCTCGGATCCTGGAGATGGACAAGGAAGAGAACCGGCGCTCAGTGCTGCTGCCCACACACCGTCGGAGGGGTAGCTTCAGCTCTGAGAACTACTGGCGCAAGTCCTATGAGTCCGGGGAGGACTGCTCAGAGGCGGCAGGCGGCCCCGCCCGAAAGGTGAAGATGCGGAGGCACTGAGGCGGCCGCACCTCCAGGGAACTCTGGTTAACCCTCATGTAGCTGCCCCTCCTTTTGTTTCGTTTCGAGGGTTTTTGTTTCTGTTTCTTTTTTGTTTGTTTTTTTATCTTTATATTTTTCCCTTGGTTTGTTGCCTGTTAAGGCTGAAGAACAGAGTTTGTCGGGACCTGGTTATTGTGTTCTTGCTTTTTCTCCTGCACCGAAAAAGGCTGTTGGCATCTATAGGGGACAGAAGCTCATGCTGGAGTGGCCAGTAGAGGTGTGGGGGGCAGCTGTCCTCAAGTGGGGCTCTGTCAGGCTGGTTTATTTAAAAGCAACAAAATGTTTTGGTTAAGAAAATTCTTGTTTTACTTTAAATGTAAATCTTCTTAGTGTTGTAAATGAAGTTCAGTCTCCTGTCCCCACTCCCCCAGCGATGTCTGTGCTGGCTTGAAGTCTTCTGGGGCTTGCCAGCTCCATGGGGGCCTGCTCTCCTCCCACCTCTCACTTCTCCAGGCCCCGGCAGCTCATGCAAACACCCTCCTCCTCCTGCAGCGGTCGTTCAGGGTGGCTGGGCAGGGGCTTAAATAATGCCAGCCCCTGTACCCCAGAGCTATTGGCTGAGCGCACCCCCACCCCCCCACCCCCGCACTGGTCTGCTCTGCCCATGGGTCAGTCCCAGGGCTGCTGAGGGCCTGGCTGCAGTGGTCCTGACCTCTCTTGCCAAGAGCACGCCTCTTTACTGTGTTGCTCCTTTCAAGCATATGCGTGTGATTGTATGCAACAGTTAGACTTGCCATGTTGGGGCACTTGTAGGAATTGTTTCTAGCTAGAGGGACTGGTGTCCTTCCAAGTCTAGCATTTGGGGTATGGAAAATTGTTGTGGTGTATGGTAGAGTTTTTGTTTTCTTTTGTTTTGAGGTTTTATTTTTTCCTTTGGTCTCCTGGCTTTTTCCTTTCCCTTTCCTTTCTCCTACATTGGCCAGCTTAGGCCTTCTCCCCGTGTCATCCCCATAGGAAGGCGCCTGCCCCCTCTGTACGCCTGCAGCATGCATCCAAGGCCAGAGCTCAGGCCTGCAGACTGGGTTGGTGCCTCCTCAGCCTCAGGGGCGTGGGAGCTGAGGAAGGGGCTTTTAAAAAATAGTAATAAAAGGAAAAAAAAGGTAAAGTCTTTGGCAGTTTCTGTTTACTCAGATTCTCAAAGGCTGCAAGGTTTTGCTGATCTAGATTTGTCAGAAATGTCTCCTTGCCAGCCAGGGCCAAGACCCCAGCCTGCTGAGAGTAGAGACCCTCCCAGTCACCAGGCTGCCACCACCCCAGAGGGCCTTGTCTTACAGAGGCCCAGGCCTGAGGCTGCAGAAGTCTGGGGCAGTCACCATCAAGGAGCCCCTCTCAGGGGCCAGAACTCCTTTGCCAGCGTGGACTCCTCACGTCGGGACTGCATAACTAAAGCAGTTGCAGTTTTATTTTTTTTACAGCTTTTTTCCCAAAAATGATTTGTAGTTGTGTGTGCAGCACTTTGCCCTGATATGTGTGCTCTACAATAAAAACCAAATCTAATATATTTTGAAACAGTTGTCTGATGCTGTTGTAAGAGAGGGCTCGCCTTTTGTGCTTCCTTCATCCCTTTATTTTCTCCTTAAACTCTGAACGGGGCAGGGGGCAGGAAGCAGAGCTCATTGCCCACCAGAGCCCCAGAGGAGTCGCTGATCCAGGGTTGAAGGCTAAAGGTGGACTTGCTTACTGCCGTCTCTTCCGTTCCAAGGATTTCATAAACTGAGTCTCTGGGTGCCCAGGGCGCCATGGGCCCACAGGGGCCAGGATCACACCCTGCTGAGTTGTGGAAGCCCCTCTTCTGGGAGTGATCAGAGAGGCTGCATGCCAGTGGAAGGACAGCATGAGCAAAGGTAGGGGAGGGCCTTTGTAGAAGATAGGCAAATGGTTTTTCTTATTAAACAAATTCTTGAGTTCCTACTGTAAGCTGGCCAAGCCTTCACTGTGGCCCCAATAGTGAGCAAACTCTTCTGGTCCCTGCTTTTTAAGATGTGTGCAGTAGAGGTGTGGGATACGGATATAGGTGTGAAGCAGACGTTTTGGGGTGGAGACGATCGGGACCCAGAGGGTTTTAGTTCCTCTAGATCCTCGACCTGGCTCCCAGCTTCTGGTCAAGGGCTTTGGTTGAGAATCTCCTTCATTTGCTTCCAGTGACCAGAACAAGTGTGCTTGGCCAAATTCTTACTGTGGAAACCTGGCAAGCCACTTAACTGCCCGTTTAACAGACGAGAAGAAAGAGTCCAGAGAGAGCAAGTGACCAGTTAGGGCTCAGTCCTGCAAATTGGTGACAGGATATGAAGATGGGGGCCAGAGCCTCCATGTGGTCTGTGGCCAGTTGAGCCTGCAGGGGTAGCCACTGGGCTGGGCAGACTGGTCCTGGATGCCCCAGAGAGGACACATTGGAACTGAGAGGAAAGTGATTTGCCAAAGATCATCCAGACTGTACATGGCATAGGTGGGCACCCCCCACCCTATGCCTGGGCCCCTGACACTGGGAGTGTAGGATGGGGTCTCTTGTGGAGAGCTGGGAGGAACTCTCTTCTGTAGCTGTGACAAAGCCAGACCTAGGCTTTTCCTAGGCCCCTGGGCAAAAGAGGCCCTTCACCCTGCAGGAGTGAGGGACAGGAGAAGTTAGAGCAAGGAGCTCCAGCCCCAGCAGGTCCTGCTGTGTCACTGGCTTCAGTCTCTGCACCTTTACAGTGGTTCTGTGGCACCCATCTCTGGGACTGTGATAATCCTCTGAGCAGTCCCCAAGCCTGTGGAGGCCTTAAGAGAATGTGGGGGTCCCATACCTGACTCCCTGAATCTGACTGTTCCCAGTCATCTCCTGGGGCACCAACTATTTGGGCCAGGTGCTGAGTACCATCAGTTTCTGACCCCAGCCCAGTCTTGCCCACAGTAGGTGCTCTAACATCATTTGCACCAGCCCTGCCCACCTGGGGAACCCATCCCATTCCTCCAACTCTGTTGTGTGGTGAGGGAAACTAAGGCCCCAAGTCATGTTCATTCATTCAATATTTGAATGCCCTACTGTGTGCCAAGCTCTGTACTGGCTGCTGAGGATGCAAGACAGACCTGGTATATGTCACATACACACATACATGAAAGGTTATTATAAATTGTACTGATATAAAAGATGTGTAGCACATAAATTGCAAATAATAAAATATTCAATATTCTTTATTATAAATTCTGTATAGCCACTTGTTTCTCACGGAATGCTTTGTTGATTTTTTTTGCTGAGTTCTCATATCTGTAGCCTACTGTGGTTGTAATTCAACCACAGCATGGCTAATGGAGTTGCATCCCGTCTGCTTGCGTTAGTTTCCTAGGCTGCTGTAACAAATGACCACAAACTTGGTGGCTTCAAACCATAGAGATTTATTTTCTCACAGTTCTGGAGGTCAGCAGTCCAGAATCACTATCACTGGGCCGAAGTCACAGTGTGCGCAGGGCCACATTCCTTCCGGAGGCTCTAGTCCTCGCCTCTGACAGCTTCTGGTGGCTGTTGACATTCCTTGACTTGTGGCCACGTAACTCCCGTCTCTGCCTCTGTGGTCAAGTGGCCTCCCCTTGTCTGTGTCTCCCGCCTCACTCCTTAGGACGCTTGTTGGATTTAGGGCCCTGGAGAATCAAAGATAATCTCCCGTCTAAAGATCTTTAATCATATCTGCAAGGTAAAAAAATGTAAAAATGTACAAAATTTTTTCAAGTTCCAGGGATTAGGACCTGCTGTATTTGGGAGTCCCTGTGTAGCCTACTATGCTGCTCTTCTCCCAATAAATTTATCGTCATTAAATCTGACATAGGACCTACTGATTTCTTATCGTTGAACAAATTATGTTAATTGGATTGAAATTTCTCAGCCTCAGCACTACTTTTAAATTTAATCTGCATCATTAGTATCTTCTCCATCGATTTCTTAAATCTAGACCTGTGCTGTCCAATATGGCAGTTGCTGGACAATTTGGCTGCTGAGCACTTGAAATGTGGCTAGTTTGAATTGAGATATGCTTTAAGTATAAAATACACAGCAGAATTTGAAGAGTTAATATGAAAAAAGATTGTAAAATATATCATTAGTTTATATTGATTACTTGTTGAAATGACAATATTTTGGACATTCTGGGTTAAATAAAATATGCTATTTAAATTAATTTCACCTGTTTCCTGTTACTGTTTTAAATCTGGCTACTCGAGAATTTAAAATTACATGTGTGGCTTGCATTGTATTTCTATTGGATGGCACTGGTCTAGAAAGTCAACAAAAAATCCAGCCCGATATGTGGTGCTTGCCAGTTTCCATGGTGTAAGTGCTCCCATCGTGGCTGATTTTAAGCAGTCGACATACGGTCACTGAACATGGAGTTGTGAAGAGATGGCCAGAAGCGCACCATTACACAGTGCTTCCACCGTAGAGATCAGTAGATGTAGTTAAAGAGCACAGACAGTAGTAAAATATAGGAAAATACGAAGTGCTTAGTTTTGAACATTACTTTTGTTTTTAATATAATTTAATTTTAATTTTATATAATTTATTAATGTCTGTGTTTAACAACTGACTCACAAAAATTCTTTAAATCTGACAGTTGGCTCTTGTGAGTGGCTTCCCATGGGAGGGTTTTGAGCAGAGGAGGACGTGATCAGACTTAGGATCCTTTGGGCTGCTGTGTTGAGGACAGTCAAAGTCAATAAGGTGATTGTGCACTGGTGAGAGAGTCAGGGGCTCCCAATCGAGGGGCTGAGGCCCCAGGCGAGGTGTGGTTGGAGCCACTGGGTGTTATGGGGGCTGGGGTCCCCAGCTGGGTGTCAGGGTGCTCAGTGGTGCAGTTCCCCCCTGTGCCCACAGTGCGGCAGCACAGTCCAAGTGGCGGTGCCTCAGAGTGGGGCAGGGTCCTGCTGTCTCTTTGTTGGGATGGGGAACTGAGGCCCCAGACACAGGGACTTAGGTTCCCCACGGCTTCTGCCCTGCTCGGCCAAGGCCCTCAGGGTTAGTGAGCGTGCACAGGGGCCCCAATTCACCAGGGCATTCTCCCCTGTGAGTCTTTGCCCATGCCAGTGCCCTTTGCCTTAGGTGGCTCCTGCTGGAAGCCACCACCTCTGCCCTCCAGCCAGTCTCCTCAGGGCTGCCCCTGGGCTGCCCAGACCCCTGGGTTCCCTCAGCACAGCCCCGAGTGTACTGTGTGGTCCCGTGCTTCTGCTGCAGGCTGGGAGACTAGAACTGAACTTCTCCCCTCTCCCAGACTCATTGTGAGTGAGGCCCTGTACGAATTGTCTCATTTAATTCTCTCCACAACCTCTTAATAGCTTACTTGGGGCCTGGGCTCAAATCCTGACTCTGCCACATACTAGCTGTGTGACTAGCACAGTACTTAACCTCTCTGTCCTTGGTTTCTTCCTAGGATTAAAGGAATGACGGTAGTGCCTGGCACAGACTAAGCACTTGGTGTTAATAAGTGGTAGGAATTAGTATTCGCCCTAATTTTGCGGATCAGTAGACTGAGGGCCAGAAAGATGAAGTGGCCGAGGTAGGATTAGCACTTGGGGCCACGGGGAGGAATGAAGCACAGAACTCCACCTTCCAGCAGGCCTGTGACAGTGTCCACCTACCCAGCTCCTGGAGTCTCAAACAATCTACTCCCAGCAGGGGCTGGCGCCCCTGAATCCCTAGGTCCTGTGGCCCAGCTCAGCATGCAGGCTCAGGGCCGGTGTCAGGGCTGAGTCTGCACCCGGACAAGGAGCACTGGGCTGGAGGTCCAGAGACCCGTGCATCATCCCCCCTGTGACCCTGGGCAGGTCATGTCTCTCTGAGCCTCAGTTTCCTCCCTTGTAAAATGAGGACAGGCTGGGTCTACCCCACCACTCCCCCTACCTGCCTGGCCTTTCACTGAGGCCTCGGACACTGCTCACCCTCTGAGGACTGGGGGCCGCAGATCCACTGCCCCCTCCCCTATCTTGGCCCTAAAGAAGGCCCTTAGAGCCAGCTCGATTTTGCACACCATGCAGGATGAGGTGCTCACTCCTTCCTGGCTTGGGCTCCCCAGTGGTCTCCCAGTCTGACCCCCACCTTGCTTTCTCCCTCATCTCCTCCTACCCCAGGTCCCGCCCACCCCCATCCCCAGCCAACTCCACTCCAGGAATCTTCCAGCCAGGCCCCTGGGGGAGCCTCCAGGAAGAAGCTGTGTGTGTGGTTTGGGCAGCAGAGGAGGGTCGTGGCCTCAGCTGGGATCTGGGCCAGCTCCTGGAAGGCAGGGTCCGCCTCCCTCAGCCAGGCTATCCTGGTTTTCCTCCCACTCCCTTGCTGCCCCTCCTCTGTCTCCATCTGGGGCTTTCCCCGTCACCCCTTCCTCCCTCTTTCCCTCCACAGGCGGCTATGGGCAAGTCACTTCTCTACCCTTCCATTCACTGTCTGTAAGGTGGAATCATCTTTGTACCCACCTCCAGCATCACTGCAAGGATTTGAGCAGATGACGCACAGATACAGCATTTACTGGGGCACCTGCCTCTGAAGACGCCCTTGATGCACATCAGCCTGGCTCAGGGACACCCCTGCTCTCCACCTGCCTCCCCATATCCCAGCAACCACCATTTCCTGTGGACGTGACTCCTAAACAGTGTAGATTATTATTTGCTTTTTGGGGGGATTTTTTCGTGAGAAGATTGGCCCTGAGCTAACGTCTGTGCCAATTTCCCTCTATTTTGTATGTGTGACATTGCCACAGCCTGGCTTGATGAGCGGTGCGTAGGTCTGTGCCCGGGATCCAAACCTGCGAACCCCGGGCTGCCGAAGCAGAACGTGTGCACTTAACCACTATGCCACCAGGCCGGCCTCCTGGATTATTATTTGTGTTTTATTTTTTTTAACAAAATATTTCAAACACACTGAAAAATACTTAGAATAACAGAGAAGCCACAGAAGTACCCACCACCCACACACATTAACATTTTGTCATATTTGCTTCAGATCTTTTTTATTCAAATATATTTCTAAAAATGTGTTGAGCACCTACTGTGTGCCAGGCAGTAGGGACACTGCAGTGAACAACAGCATTAAAAGCTCAGCCCCAAGGGAGCTCAAGCTGGGAAGACAAGTAATACACATAAAAGGAAGTTAAAGTAGGTGGTGGGTGAGAAGAAGGAGTCAGAGGAGGGCATCTGGAGGGGGGAGTAGGTCAGGGAGGCTTCTTTGAGCAGGTGTCACTTAAGTCAAGATTAAAAGGAGGTGAGGGATTTGCCTAAGTGAAAACTTGGGGGGCAAAGCATGCCAGGCAAGGAAACAGTAAGTGCAAGGGTCCTGAGGCAGAAGCTCATCTGGTACATTTGAAGAATGGTAAGGCAACCAGCATGTCTTGGAGCCAGAGTTCTAAAAACAGCTGGCTCACTAGGTAACAGACCCTGCCAGGCCCTGTGCTCAACTCCTGTTTTGAATTATCTCATTTAGTCCTCACTAAATTTTACAGAGGAGGAATTGAAGCCCAAGGTGGACAAGGGGCTTCTCTGAGGTCACCCAGCTAGCAAAAGGATGTCTTGGAATTTGGAGCCAGACCTGAGTCCCACCTCAGATCTGGGCTAGGGTCTTGGGGTGGCCTAGGAGGAGAGAAGAGAGAGAAGCCACCCCACCCAGTAAATGCCGAGAAACCAGCAGCCGCTCCCTGACCTGGGGTTGACCAGAGGCTGGGAGGCTAGAGGAGGGACCAGCTTTCCCTTCCAGTGCTGCTGACTCAGGTGCCCTCCTGCCTCCCCTAACTCCTGGGACAGGTGCCAGGGCACCTGAGATCCCTGAAGACCCTGCGTTCACACCCTTGCCTGCGCTCCCCGGAGCCACAGCCTCAGCCTCAGCCGCAGCCACAGTTTCCTGCTGTGAGCAACGAGCAGCCTGGCCCTGTTGCCTGTTGCTGGTGATAATCCTAGGCCGTGGGCTCTCTCCTTCGGGGGAGGGGAGAGACAGACAGTCATCAATGCCCTAGGCCCTCCCAGCTGAGGGATGGTACCCTCCCCAATGCCATTCCTAAACCCTGTCCCGTAGGTATGCAGATGGGCTGGGCCTGTCTGCCCAGGTCTCAGTTTACCCATTTGTACCTCAGTGTACCCATTTAACTCCTTTCAACCTGATCGCATGGGGCCAAGCTGGCTGGTTTAAAATCCAGACTCTAGAGCCCCACTCGACCGTCATTTGCGTTTGATGGACCTGGAATCTGTGTTGTTAACAGGTGTGTGGGGGAGTTGTGACACTTTGAGAACCTCTGCCTGCCATGCCACCCTTCTCTGTCTGCCCTCAGCCCTCTCCCTGTTAAACTCTTCACCCATTACAGCACAGCTTGGGCTGTGCCCTCTCCCTCCAGGACCTGCCCCAGGTCAGATGCCTCTTCTGGGCCCCCACAGCCCCGGTGTGTCCCCCGTCACAGCACAGCAGACTCCTGATGGTTGTGGTCTCTACTCAGCTCTGTCCCCGTCAGACTGTGAGCTGGGCGTGTGTGGCGGGGAGGCATGGCCGCTTACTGCCTGATGACTAAGTCCCATTTCAAAGACAGAGAAATGGAGACTGAGTAAGGGCAGGGACTTACCCAGGGTGATAGAGAAGAGTTCTAATAGCAATTAGCAAGAACTCTAATAACAGCGAACACTCACACGGCTCTTCCTGTCTACCTGGCACATTCTAAAGGGCTTTACGAGAACAAATTCATTTCATCTTCACAAAAACCCTTTGAGGTAGGGACTAGTACTATCCACATTTTTACAGATGAGGAAACTGAGGCACAGAGAGCTTAAGTAACTTGCTCCAGGCTGCACAGCTTCTAAACGGGGAAGTTTGGATGTGAATTAACAAATTCCTAACACTTCCCTGTGTCCCTGTGCCAGGCCCTCATTTCATGGAAGAAGCAACCTGAACTCAGGCCTCATCACTCAGCCAGTGGGTGGCAGAGCAGGGACCAGAACCCAGGCCTCGGAGATGCCTGTGCTGGGCATGAGGTGGGCAGTGGCCAGAGGGATCTGACCTTCTCAGTCCAGTCAGCTCTGCCCAAGGCTCGGGTCACAGGCCCTCGTGCCTCTGCCCATCTGTCCCAGCCTCCTCACAGTAACCTGGATCCTGCTGCCGCCCCCTCACAGGACCCCTGAGAGCACTGTCAGCGGGACAGGGAGGGGGAGTGGTGCGCAC